TGGTACCCCGTGCGGCTCTGGTACCGCACCCACATCCCGTAGTTCTTCACCACCGTCGGATTCTTCTCAAAGATCTGAAGATCTCGCAAGGGGGGAGGGATGAGGAAAAAGGGGGAAAAGGAGGGGAGAGGGTTGGGAAATCAGCATGACCAAGCAGGTGAACAGTGATGATTTAAAATGAGTGATGGAGCATTGGACCTGGAACACAAAATTAAAAAAGAGACGACACTGGAACTGACTGGAGCGGGTGTCTTTCAGACAAATGCCTCGTTTTTGTCGTCAGAGCCAGTCGGCTACGACTCGTCATCTTTTAAGTTTTTGACATCATCAAGACAGTAAAGCTCCTGACACAGCACCCCAAGACAGCACTTGCTACCATACCTTGATTGGTTGAATGACTATGAGGGTAGGAAAAAAAAAAGGCTAAGAAAGAGAACCAGGCCGGATATCTCTCAGACAAATGCCTCACTGTGTCGTCAGCGCCTATTGGCTACGACTCGTCATCTTTAAAGTTTTTGACATCATCAAGACAGCCATGGTGCTAGGGAACAGACTAATGTGACTTTTGAGTCGACTCAAAAGTCACTTGAAGGTTTTTGACATCATCAAGACAGCCGTGGTGCTTGGGAAATAAACGATGGAGAAACGACCAGATGAGCTGGCCAACGGGGAGACTGGGAGCAAGAAACGGGAAACTGAAATTCGGGTGCAATCAGAGTCGGTGCCTTTCAGACAAATGCCTCCTTTTTGTCGTCAGAGCCAATCGGCTACGACTCGTCATCTTATTAGTGTCATCATCACCAAGACACATCCACTCGACTCGGCTCTTGCACATGGTGGGTTGCTATGAAACCTGACCAAGTGCTCGCACAGTACTTCGTAAACCAGAAGGAAAATATGGAAAGAACGCGGGTACAAAGTGGACTGGAGCCAGAATTCCAAAACGACCAGATCCGATGTCATTCAGACAAATGCCTCGCGTTTGTCGTCAGTGCCTGCAGGCTACGACTCGTCATCTTATAAAGTTTTTGTCATCATCAAGACATCGAAGCTTATGTACCGTACCTTGAAGGAAAAACAGGGTTAGATGAGTACGAGAGGGACGGAATCAGGACAAAAGCTAGAAATAAAATTGGACTGGGTATCCCTCAGACAAATTCCTCGTGTTTGTCGTCTCTGCTCGTGAGCTACGACTCGTCATCTTAATCGTGTCGTCATCATCAAGACACCATCCTAACCACTGTACACGACCCTACGGTTCGGGATAGAACGGAGTAACAGGGACAAACTTGATGCACACACGGGTAAGGAGATCGATAAAGCTGGAGGGCGAGTCTCTTCCAGACGAATACCTCGTCCCTCCCTGTCGGGTACGACTCGTCATCTGCTAATACCCATCATCAGAACGCAGCCCACCTGTCTGTTCCCGACACGACCTACAGTCAGTCTCCATGAATCAGCGACGATGTATCGCAGCGGTCACAGCTCATCTCTCGTCCACCTTCTACATCGGCTGCGGATCAATGGGCAATCCTAACATCTTGCAGCAACGCTTATCTACTTTCACAGTTAACGGGTACTGATCGAGAGCTCGGTTTGGCCGGGAGAAAATCTTTCAGACAAATGCCTCGTGTGGGTCTTCACGGCCTGACGGCTCCGACTCGTCATCTTGATTGGTTGGTCATCCGCAAGACACTCCCACTCGGTCACAACTCCAAGACCCCCAAGACACTCTCACTCGATCACAACCGCCCTCTCTTCCAACACTACAACACCGCTGGTCCGTCTCACAGGCTGTTCCTGAAGGCCAGGGTCGCTAAACCCTGAACTTTCAAGTAGCTGACTGTCGCTGCTCTTATCTGTGCCGTCGAAGCAATCGACACTGCCGCGCAGGCGCGGGCGTTGTTAGATGAAGCCACACACTCGGTAATGCCTCAAAAGCCGACTCCACTCCACTCCACGCCCCCGAACCGTCGAATCTCCTTACGCTCTCGCTCGCCCTAGTCGGCTCGAACTTTGTGCTGCTAACGCCTTGCGTGGCAACCAGGCATTCAAACTAGACACTCGGGGCAAATCCTGAGGACGACCACGCCGCGAAACCCTAATGCGAAGCACTCAACCAAATCCATGACCATGACCATTACCAATCACCTGCTGGAATGTTGGACCTGGGAAATAGAATATCCATGCAGTGACTGGACTGGACCCCTGCACTAGCGAGGTTGATCCCCAAAAATCGTTGAATGCACCTCGTGAAGCGGATCTACAACTCACCTCGTTGATCGCTAGGACTTGACCGTGAGCCTTCTTCACTCTACGCAGCTGACTCAAGAAGTACCTGCGGAGGAGGGAGAAATGGGGAGAGGTTGGGGAGAGGAAGGGGAGGTAGAAAACATCAGATTTACAGTGACGCCCACGGCACAATCAGGATATTGTGAGCTTAAAAAAAAAAAAAAAAACGGAAAAACACGAAATGTGGAATAGCGACTTCAGCAGATAGAAAAGTCTCAGAGGTGCTTCAAGAAAGTCCGAGCTACAACCTACGGTCTACATGCCACCGACCACTTTCGACACGGATCAAGCTACGGTTCCACCGAGGCCAGGAGCCAAGCGCCATTACAGCAGGTGCCCCGACGAAATAACGAACCGCGTGGGCTGAGTCGCGAGCCGATCTGAACAAGAAACGAAGGTCTTAACTACGGCGCTGTTGCTAGAGGGATCGATCAGTTGTAGAGTACCGACCAATTGTACTGCAACACGGTAAAGACACCCCTAATATTGACGCGCGACGCTGCTCCTTTCCGCCCTCCACATCCAGCCCCCATGCTCCAAAACCTCCATCCGATAGCCTTCTCCGTCTCGGTTTCCGTCTCCGTCCCCAATCTCCAACTGACATTTAACGCTCTAGGCTACGCGCAGGCGAATCAGCTCCGATTCCAGTCAGTCCTAGAGCGCCGCGCCCCCTCCGATCCGCCAGCTGGCACCGCCTCGACTGCGAAGAGCACATCGACCGCACCAGTACTTCGCGCACCATCTCCGCACCAGCACTTGATAACCTCGAACAGCAATGTTATCGCGCACCAATAACCTCCTCCGCCTCCGCCTTCGTCTCAACACTTCGCATTGTGCCTGTCCGCGTTATAGGCCCCAACCCCAACCAGAATCTGCTCTTTCCGTGGTAGAAGGCTCACCAGAACTTGCTCTTGGCGCGCACTTGGTCGATGGCCCAGAGCTTCATGCGGTAGATCTTGGGCGTGGGGTCGTTGGGGCTGGGGTTCATGCGCCCCACCACATGGTACTGGTGGAACTGTACGCGCGGCACGGCGGGGCATGAGGGGCAGGGCGGATGCACGGCGAGCAAGGGGGAATAAAGGGGGGCGAGGGGGAGCAGGGAGGGGGAGTGGGGAGGGGGGTGGGGGGAGGTGGGAGGACACGGCGAAGGATTGGTTATCAGAACGGGCAGATTAAGGCGACGCGGTGTGCCGGTGGAGTGATAAGAGAGAGTCCAGGCGGAGTGAGGCGAAACAGCATCTTGAGGAGCGAATGTTGCGGCTGCTCTGGAGGCCCTCGACACCGAATCGCGCATACATGTGCGATTACGACTTGAGAGGCGTCTCAAAACGCGTGCGATTACGACGTATACTCAGGGGTCTAAGAAGTTTCTTTACGGTATGCGCTTCATCATCTCGAGAGCAGGACGAGCGAGGAGAGCCTAGGCTAAAAAATATAAACGAAGGAAAGTGGGCGGTGCTAACGAGACGCAGCTACAACCGTTGGAAGCCGAATCGGACACGATCAGCAATTACAACCAGCGCGACGGGAAGAGGCGACGCGTACTAAAAGGCACTATTAGGATACGCACCCGGTACTTCACCATGGTTGCAAGGGGGGTCTGTTCAACGAGAGGGAGGAGAGGGAGGAGGAAGGAAAGGAATTGAAACTAGGTGAAGGGAGAAACTTGATGGGCTGTGCCGAGCAGGTGCAGTGGCGGCAGGCAAGGTGGGAGGGGTGGGCAGCGCAGAGGTAAAGGGTGGAAAGTGGGAGCGGAGGAGAGGAGAAAGTGTTTGAAAGGAAGTGGGGGGCGTGTGGCAAGGGGAGAGTGGGGGAGGGGGAGCAGACGAGGGGTTTGTGGGCGAGGGGGAAGGGTTGGTGCTGGTGGATGTGGTGAAGAGAAGCGGAGAGAATTGGAAGGCGGAGTGGGGAAGAATTAGGGTTGTGGCGGGAGGTGAACAGATTGGGTGGAAAATCACTTTAGCGGAAGGGGGCAGCGTGCGATTTTGGGATTTGTGGATTACCTCTCGAGAAGCTCACAACTCCACTTACTCGTTTTGGTTTTGTTTGGGGCTGCATGATTTATCTTCGGAAATATTGCTTGTAACGAATCATTCTGTTCAAGGTATTCATGTCTCAGAGCTTTGGTTGTCAGAACCGTGGGTCTAGGCGGCACGCGCTCCTAAACTGTTCGATTCGAACAACCTCAGACGTCGATGCCTCGTCCACGTGTTCAGCCGACGAAAGTGTTTCCTTCAAAGCCTCGCCGAACGTTCGCGGCGCGTCGCACAGCCACAGCGCTGAACCTCCTCGTTCTTCTCGTCGTTTCATTTCTGGTGGTCGGAGTGATTTTTGCTCGACGCCGCATTTTCACTCAAGTGCCTACACGAGCACAAGAGCTCCCGTTACAGTCACGTCTCTCAACAAATACTGCTCCGAAGTCTCTAGATTCTATAACGGTGAAATCGAGCAGCCTCCAGCCAGGCAGCGACGAGCTCAGCAGCTCTTCCTCTTACCATCCTCTCCATCTCCGCAGCCTCTTACCCGCCGATTTTTTCGCTCCTCGCGTCCCGCTCACCGTTTATCCGCGTTCCGCCGACCCGCACTCGCCGCTCTCTACATCCAATCCTCAAAATGACACTAGCGCAGCCAGCCTCAGCGCGGGGCAAATTCACGCGCGCAAGCACCGCCGCCGCCGTCGCAGGCGCATTGGCGGAAACAAAGGCGGAATGTGTATCGCGATTGCCTCTTCCCCGCGCCCGGATCCGCGGATGATCCGCGCGCCGTGGTTCACCGTCACCAACCTGCTCAAGGCGCTCGACGCCAGGCGCGCGGGGGCGCGGCCGCGCGGGCCGAAGAATTTGCGCGCACTGGCGGAGAGGGGCGCGGGTCTGTTCGACCGCGCCATGCGCGTTGTGGTGTACAGCGGGGGGTGCCACGTGCGGGATGTGCGGAAGATGGCGGAACAGGTGGCAGAGGGATTGGCGGAAGGAAAGGAGGAGGGAGAGGTAAGGAAGGATGGACGCGGTAGTGGGTCTGTGAGTGAGGTTGAGCAGAACAAACGCGCAGGGGAATCGAAAAGCGCATCTTCCTCCTCCTCCTCCGCCGCCGCCTCCTCCCCTCCCCGCTTCCACATCCCAGCCTCCTACGATCTCGCTGCGCACCGCCTCGCCCGCGCCACCAACGCCTCCCTCGCCTCCACGCGCGCGCTCGTCGCCACACTCGCCACCGCCGCGCGCCTCAACCCCCTCTCCGCCCCCCACACCGCCGCCATCCGCGCCACCGCCGCAACTCTCACCCTCCCCATCGACATCCTCCCCGCACACCCCGCCGTGTGCGCGCTCCTGGACGACCCGCTGGTATTACTTAACAAAGTGCCGGCGGGAGTGGTGGAGAGCGAGGGGTGGGAGCGGTGGCGGTGGCATGTGAAGCTGGCGATGGATACAGTGCACGTGGTCAGGCAGTGTGTACATACGGGCGCGCGCATGGTGCTGCTGCTGCAGGATGACGTGGTGCCAGCGTGGCAGTGGGACGTAGGGCTGGAGAGATTCGTTGCCGTGGACCTGCCGCGATTGGTGGGGGCGCGGGAGAGAACGGAGGAGGAGGAGAGGGAGAGGAAGAGGGACAGGGAGGGGCCACAGGAGGGGGAGCAGGGGAGGCAGCAGGGGAGGGTGCAGGGGAGGGTGCAGGAGAAGGAGCAGGAGAGCAAGATCGGGAGGTTGGGAGGGGTTGAGAGTGGCAACAAGGGCCATGGCTCGCACTCCCATTGGAGATACCCTACGTGGGACGTGGTGTCGCTGTACTACCCACAGACGTACGGGTGGAAGCTGGCCCACGGGGCGGAGTACCCAGTGCCCTGCTGCGCGCAGGCGCTGCTGCTCAACGCGTCCACCGTGGACGCGCTGCTGGGCCACGTGGAGGCGGGGCTCATGTGCGCACCCCTCGACCTGCTCATACATGAGTACCTCCTGTCTGGTGCTGTCAGGGAGAACGGTGGTGGCCATGATGCAGGGGAGAATGATGGTGGCAGTGGAGGCGGTGGTAATGGTGACGGTGCTGGTGGTGCTGGTGGTGGTGGTGAGGGGCGGCGTCCGCGTGCGTATGTGCACATTCCGTCTCTTTTCCAGCACATTGGGGTGGTGAGGACGAATGTGCTGAAAGGAAATCAGGGCCACAGCGACAGGCGGTTCCGGCCGGACTTTGTGGAGGAGCCGTATAGGAGTGTGGAGGAGGTGAGGGATGAGTGGCGGAGGAAAGAGGAGAAGGAAAAGGAGGAGAGGGAGATGATCAGAAAAAGGGCTGCTAGGATACGAAAGAAGAACCTTACACAGCCAACAGGTATGGCTGGTGGTGCTGCAATATAGGTGGTGCTCTGGGGGAACTAGAGAGTGAAGGGAGTTAGTGAAAGGCCTGCATGGACGGAGATGTGGATTTCTCAAGGTGGATACGCTCGCTAAGCCAGCCAGTCCATGTGGAAGTTTTCAAAGCGAAAAAAGAATCGTTTAGCGCATACTTAGGAAGAACATGGTCCATCCCCTTTGCTTCGAAGGCTTGACAATTTGGGCTCCCATTGGTTCAATTCCAGTTTTGCTCAAATTTCGTTGGGATGCAGTTTACAAAATGAATGCAGTTGGAGTGTATAGCTTACCATACCGTATCTGAGAACTTCGGTTGGACCCCCTAGGACCTCCACTCCCTTCTTCAAAGTCAAGAGTTGCAAAAGCGGGTACGGCGCATGCACGAAGGTCTAGGGTTTCGCCAGCCGTCGCTTGTACGGCACTCAAGCGTCGCCCGCAGTCACACGCCACATGTAACGTGTTACGTGAACCTAGATATTGTCTAGGGCAAGGAAGGTAGAATGCAGCGCGGGTCAGGGATTACTGTACTTCTTGTTGTGTGCTCCGATATAGCCCACGAATCTGGAGTTGCGCTACAGTAGTGTGCACCAGAGAAAGGGGCTTGGTTTGGGATCAGTCCGTCACCAGTATTTGAGTGACTGACCTAGTTGCGAGGAGCTAAGTTGTGATTGACGATTCTGCGGGACTCTCGAGTCTCGACCCGCAGACCTAGTTGCTCGAAGTGAACCAGCGCCATATTTCGCCTGCGATATTAGTGACTGCGACAGAATAAGGCTTAGAAATCTGACGCTTGACATACTTTTTGCCGTGGGATAAGGCTAGATCCTGGTTTTGCAGAACATTAGAGTGATTAAGAGGAATAAGGCAAGCTCAAATAAGCGACCGATTTTTTTGCTTCGCTCCGTTAGCATTTCTTGCAAAGTTTCACAGCCGACCGCTTCCTGCTTGTACCCGCAGTATCCACGATCGGGAATTTATTAAAAGAAGCAGCGTTTTATCCGTATATAGCTTATTTTTCTTCGTTGTTTGATTAGAATGTCGGACAGCGAGGGGGACTACTACCAGGACTCGGAGGAGGAGGAGCAGGTGGACGACTCGGACGACGACGAGGATTATGGCTTCGACGACCCCGATGTTGACGACGACGATCCCGTGCTGCGACCCCGACAGGTGCGGCTAGGGCTGCGACTCACACATGTGGGGCTAGGGCTGCGAATTGCACATGTGGGGCTAGGGCTGCGACTTGCACATGTGGGGCTAGGGCCAATTTAGGATGACGTTTGAGTCGACTTAAAAGGCACGATGCCGACGACGATCCGTGCTGCGACCCCGACAGGTGGGGCTAGGGCGAATTTAGGATGCTTCAGTGGGCGAAATTTCGATTCCGGCTGCCAGTCGTTAAGTTGCTTTGCAGCGCTTCGTGGTGCTCGTTATTTGGGAAATTAGTCCGTCGTGATTATAATTTCCGACGTCCTTAACGTTCTTAGCCACCACCTCACAAAAATACATGAAAACGACAGACCTTCTTCGTTTTCTTCTCCAAGTTTCATAATATGCAAATTCGCATGTTGAAATACACGGAGCAGGTGCGGTACAAGATTCTATCGGAGAAGGACATAGTGCAGCGGCAGCAGGAGGCGATCGGCGACGTGGCGACGGTGCTCTCCATCCCCGCCGACGACGCCGCCATCCTGCTCCGCCACTTCAAATGGTCAGTCGAGTAAAGTGGTCAGCCGCTTCAAATGGTCGGTCAGCCGCTCCAAATGGTCAGTCAACCGCTTCAATGGCCTCAAAATGGTCATTCACCTGAATTTTCAGTCACTCAAAGTTGTCAGTCACTGGAAATGGTCGTCGCTTGTCAGTCACTTCACTTGCAATGACGAATAACTATACATTTCAAGTCACATCAATTGGTGGATCATGTCACTTTGAGCGGTCAGCCATGTAAGCAGCCCAGTCAGTCGGATGAAGCCTTTTTTTTTAAGCCTATCAAAAGATTTACGGCTCTTCATTTGTGTGAATGAAGGTCACTTGTTATTCAAATTCCAGTGAAGAGGACCTGGACAAAAACCTCGTGCAGTGCAGAGGGTCAACTATCAACTACCAGGCCGCCTCACTGCGTTGATATTCGCCTTCACTGCAAGGGCATTAAGTTCTGTTGTACCCTCGGACCTCGTCGCTTGTATGCGCCTGGCAGGAGCGCGAGTCAGGTGAACGACGAGTGGTTTCAGGACGAGGACCGCGTGAGGAAGGCCGTGGGGCTGCCCCGCCCGCACTCCCCCTCACCCCCCTCCTCCTCCTCCGCCTCCGACCGCCGCCCTGGCAAGGAACCCGAGGTGAGGCTGTGCTGTGCTGTGAAGGACGCGGGGAAGGGGAGGAAGGGGTGCGCTGGTTGCCAGTGAGAAATGAGGGGAGCGGAGGCAAGGATCATATCAGGTTTGACACCGCTGTGTTGAACGTGGGTTCCGTGGCATTCCGTAGGGATGTGCGAAGCCCACGTGGTGATAGCTCATGGATGGTTGGTGGAAGGCTGGTGGATGGATAGCGGATGGATGATGGGTGGACACATGGTGCATGCATGCATGGTTGGTGGATAGTGCATGGATGGCGTGCGGATGGTGCATGCATGCCTGTATGGTGGTGAATGGTGCATGGATCGCTGTTCTTATTCCCACCACGTGGGTCATTCCTCTCTTCGCCCTCTTCCCCTCCCCGTGCCTGTGCCCTTGTCGTTCCCCCTTACTGCCTCTTTCTGCTCATCTGCTTGTTGAGTTCCCTCACTCAACCCCCCTCCCTCATGTCCCCCGTTTTCCCCACCCGGTCTCTGCCTGTGCCGGCCAGCCGCACCTGACGTGCGGCATCTGCTTTGAGAGCTACCCGCAGGCGGCCATGAAGCCCGCTGAGTGCTTCGACCACTTCTTCTGCGACGCCTGCTGGCGAGGTGCGTGGGGTAGCCTGCTGGCGAGGTGCGTGGGGTAGCCTGCTGGCGAGGTGCGTGGGGTAGCCTGCTGGCGAGGTGCGTGGGGTAGCCTGCTGGCGAGGTGCGTGGGGTAGCCTGCTGGTGAGGTAGGCGGTGCATGCTGCTGGCGAGGTGAGTGGTGCATGCTGCTGGCGAGGTGAGTGGTGCATGCTGCTGGCGAGATGCGAGGTGCGTGCGTGGTGCTAGCTAGGTGGGTAATACTATGACGACTCATCATCAGTATCTTGCATTTCCTTCCCCTGCTTTCCCTTTTTTTTTTTCAACTGAATGTCCCTCTTTCTGCTGCCTTTCCTTCATCCCTGTTCCCCTTTCCTTCATCCCTGTTCCCCTTTCCGTCATCCCTGTTCCCCTTTCCGTCATCCCTGTTCCCCTTTCCGTCATCCCTGTTCCCCTTTCCGTCATCCCTGTTCCCCTTTCCGTCATCCCTGTTCCCCTTTCCGTCATCCCTGTTCCCCTTTCCGTCATCCCTGTTCCCCTTTCCGTCATCCCTGTTCCCCTTTCCGTCATCCCTGTTCCCCTTTCCGTCATCCCTGTTCCCCTTTCCGTCATCCCTGTTCCCCTTTCCGTCATCCCTGTTCCCCTTTCCGTCATCCCTGTTCCCCTTTCCGTCATCCCTGTTCCCCTTTCCGTCATCCCTGTTCCCCTTTCCGTCATCCTTGTTCCCCTTTCCGTCATCCCTGTTCCCCTTTCCGTCATCCCTGTTCCCCTTTCCGTCATCCCTGTTCCCCTTTCCGTCATCCCTGTTCCCCTTTCCGTCATCCCTGTTCCCCTTTCCGTCATCCCTGTTCCCCTTTCCGTCATCCCTGTTCCCCTTTCCGTCATCCCTGTTTCCCTTTCCTTCATCCCTGTTCCCCTTTCCTTCATCCCTGTTCCCCTTTCCTTCATCCCTGTTCCCCTTTCCGTCATCCCTGTTCCCCTTTCCGTCATCCCTGTTCCCCTTTCCGTCATCCCTGTTCCGCTGTCCTCTGCTACCTGTCCTCTGCTACCTGTCCTCTGCTACCTGTCCTCTGCTACCTGTCCTCTGCTACCTGTCCTCTGCTACCTGTCCTCTGCTACCTGTCCTCTGCTACCTGTCCTCTGCTACCTGTCCTCTGCTACCTGTCCTCTGCTACCTGTCCTCTGCTACCTGTCCTCTGCTACCTGTCCTCTGCTACCTGTCCTCTGCTACCTGTCCTCTGCTACCTGTCCTCTGCTACCTGTCCTCTGCTACCTGTCCTCTGCTACCTGTCCTCTGCTACCTGTCCTCTGCTACCTGTCCTCTGCTACCTGTCCTCTGCTACCTGTCCTCTGCTACCTGTCCTCTGCTACCTGTCCTCTGCTACCTGTCCTCTGCTACCTGTCCTCTGCTACCTGTCCTCTGCTACCTGTCCTCTGCTGCCTATCCTCTGCTGCCTATCCTCTGCTGCCTGTCCTCTGCTACCTGTCCTCTGCTACCTGTCCTCTGCTACCTGTCCTCTGCTACCTGTCCTCTGCTACCTGTCCTCTGCTACCTGTCCTCTGCTACCTGTCCTCTGCTACCTGTCCTCTGCTACCTGTCCTCTGCTACCTGTCCTCTGCTACCTGTCCTCTGCTACCTGTCCTCTGCTACCTGTCCTCTGCTACCTGTCCTCTGCTACCTGTCCTCTGCTACCTGTCCTCTGCTACCTGTCCTCTGCTACCTGTCCTCTGCTACCTGTCCTCTGCTACCTGTCCTCTGCTACCTGTCCTCTGCTACCTGTCCTCTGCTACCTGTCCTCTGCTACCTGTCCTCTGCTACCTGTCCTCTGCTACCTGTCCTCTGCTACCTGTCCTCTGCTACCTGTCCTCTGCTACCTGTCCTCTGCTACCTGTCCTCTGCTACCTGTCCTCTGCTACCTGTCCTCTGCTACCTGTCCTCTGCTACCTGTCCTCTGCTACCTGTCCTCTGCTACCTGTCCTCTGCTACCTGTCCTCTGCTACCTGTCCTCTGCTACCTGTCCTCTGCTACCTGTCCTCTGCTACCTGTCCTCTGCTACCTGTCCTCTGCTACCTGTCCTCTGCTACCTGTCCTCTGCTACCTGTCCTCTGCTACCTGTCCTCTGCTACCTGTCCTCTGCTACCTGTCCTCTGCTACCTGTCCTCTGCTACCTGTCCTCTGCTACCTGTCCTCTGCTACCTGTCCTCTGCTACCTGTCCTCTGCTACCTGTCCTCTGCTACCTGTCCTCTGCTACCTGTCCTCTGCTACCTGTCCTCTGCTACCTGTCCTCTGCTACCTGTCCTCTGCTACCTGTCCTCTGCTACCTGTCCTCTGCTACCTGTCCTCTGCTACCTGTCCTCTGCTACCTGTCCTCTGCTACCTGTCCTCTGCTACCTGTCCTCTGCTACCTGTCCTCTGCTACCTGTCCTCTGCTACCTGTCCTCTGCTACCTGTCCTCTGCTACCTGTCCTCTGCTACCTGTCCTCTGCTACCTGTCCTCTGCTACCTGTCCTCTGCTACCTGTCCTCTGCTACCTGTCCTCTGCTACCTGTCCTCTGCTACCTGTCCTCTGCTACCTGTCCTCTGCTACCTGTCCTCTGCTACCTGTCCTCTGCTACCTGTCCTCTGCTACCTGTCCTCTGCTACCTGTCCTCTGCTACCTGTCCTCTGCTACCTGTCCTCTGCTACCTGTCCTCTGCTACCTGTCCTCTGCTACCTGTCCTCTGCTACCTGTCCTCTGCTACCTGTCCTCTGCTACCTGTCCTCTGCTACCTGTCCTCTGCTACCTGTCCTCTGCTACCTGTCCTCTGCTACCTGTCCTCTGCTACCTGTCCTCTGCTACCTGTCCTCTGCTACCTGTCCTCTGCTACCTGTCCTCTGCTACCTGTCCTCTGCTACCTGTCCTCTGCTACCTGTCCTCTGCTACCTGTCCTCTGCTACCTGTCCTCTGCTACCTGTCCTCTGCTACCTGTCCTCTGCTACCTGTCCTCTGCTACCTGTCCTCTGCTACCTGTCCTCTGCTACCTGTCCTCTGCTACCTGTCCTCTGCTACCTGTCCTCTGCTACCTGTCCTCTGCTACCTGTCCTCTGCTACCTGTCCTCTGCTACCTGTCCTCTGCTACCTGTCCTCTGCTACCTGTCCTCTGCTACCTGTCCTCTGCTACCTGTCCTCTGCTACCTGTCCTCTGCTACCTGTCCTCTGCTACCTGTCCTCTGCTACCTGTCCTCTGCTACCTGTCCTCTGCTACCTGTCCTCTGCTACCTGTCCTCTGCTACCTGTCCTCTGCTACCTGTCCTCTGCTACCTGTCCTCTGCTACCTGTCCTCTGCTACCTGTCCTCTGCTACCTGTCCTCTGCTACCTGTCCTCTGCTACCTGTCCTCTGCTACCTGTCCTCTGCTACCTGTCCTCTGCTACCTGTCCTCTGCTACCTGTCCTCTGCTACCTGTCCTCTGCTACCTGTCCTCTGCTACCTGTCCTCTGCTACCTGTCCTCTGCTACCTGTCCTCTGCTACCTGTCCTCTGCTACCTGTCCTCTGCTACCTGTCCTCTGCTACCTGTCCTCTGCTACCTGTCCTCTGCTACCTGTCCTCTGCTACCTGTCCTCTGCTACCTGTCCTCTGCTACCTGTCCTCTGCTACCTGTCCTCTGCTACCTGTCCTCTGCTACCTGTCCTCTGCTACCTGTCCTCTGCTACCTGTCCTCTGCTACCTGTCCTCTGCTACCTGTCCTCTGCTACCTGTCCTCTGCTACCTGTCCTCTGCTACCTGTCCTCTGCTACCTGTCCTCTGCTACCTGTCCTCTGCTACCTGTCCTCTGCTACCTGTCCTCTGCTACCTGTCCTCTGCTACCTGTCCTCTGCTACCTGTCCTCTGCTACCTGTCCTCTGCTACCTGTCCTCTGCTACCTGTCCTCTGCTACCTGTCCTCTGCTACCTGTCCTCTGCTACCTGTCCTCTGCTACCTGTCCTCTGCTACCTGTCCTCTGCTACCTGTCCTCTGCTACCTGTCCTCTGCTACCTGTCCTCTGCTACCTGTCCTCTGCTACCTGTCCTCTGCTACCTGTCCTCTGCTACCTGTCCTCTGCTACCTGTCCTCTGCTACCTGTCCTCTGCTACCTGTCCTCTGCTACCTGTCCTCTGCTACCTGTCCTCTGCTACCTGTCCTCTGCTACCTGTCCTCTGCTACCTGTCCTCTGCTACCTGTCCTCTGCTACCTGTCCTCTGCTACCTGTCCTCTGCTACCTGTCCTCTGCTACCTGTCCTCTGCTACCTGTCCTCTGCTACCTGTCCTCTGCTACCTGTCCTCTGCTACCTGTCCTCTGCTACCTGTCCTCTGCTACCTGTCCTCTGCTACCTGTCCTCTGCTACCTGTCCTCTGCTACCTGTCCTCTGCTACCTGTCCTCTGCTACCTGTCCTCTGCTACCTGTCCTCTGCTACCTGTCCTCTGCTACCTGTCCTCTGCTACCTGTCCTCTGCTACCTGTCCTCTGCTACCTGTCCTCTGCTACCTGTCCTCTGCTACCTGTCCTCTGCTACCTGTCCTCTGCTACCTGTCCTCTGCTACCTGTCCTCTGCTACCTGTCCTCTGCTACCTGTCCTCTGCTACCTGTCCTCTGCTACCTGTCCTCTGCTACCTGTCCTCTGCTACCTGTCCTCTGCTACCTGTCCTCTGCTACCTGTCCTCTGCTACCTGTCCTCTGCTACCTGTCCTCTGCTACCTGTCCTCTGCTACCTGTCCTCTGCTACCTGTCCTCTGCTACCTGTCCTCTGCTACCTGTCCTCTGCTACCTGTCCTCTGCTACCTGTCCTCTGCTACCTGTCCTCTGCTACCTGTCCTCTGCTACCTGTCCTCTGCTACCTGTCCTCTGCTACCTGTCCTCTGCTACCTGTCCTCTGCTACCTGTCCTCTGCTACCTGTCCTCTGCTACCTGTCCTCTGCTACCTGTCCTCTGCTACCTGTCCTCTGCTACCTGTCCTCTGCTACCTGTCCTCTGCTACCTGTCCTCTGCTACCTGTCCTCTGCTA